TACTCATCTACTCACAGAAGAGGACAGAATTTTACCAAACCACAAAAGAAGTCAGGGAATTGCCAAAATCTAGGCAAAATCTCCACTCTAATTGTAACAGAGTGAGACAAAAGGAGAAGCAAGGGGAGATTAGGTTAGAGAGGGGTACAATGAAACAGGAAAAATAGGCAAACTTTAAACCTCTGTCAAAAGTTTCAAGGAGCAGAATTTAAATGACAGAACAAAAATATGGGGGGATAAACTTCAGAAACTCTCCCAGAACACAAAGGTAAAAGTCAAAGACGAAACTGAGGCATGTGATTAATGAATGTCTAGTCTCAGAATTATACGTATGTTTAAAAAGAAACAAAAAAACTAAAATAAGAGCAATAATTAAATAATAGACATTTCAGGAAAAAAAATTAATAGAAAAACACACATACACACACATATTGCAAATCCTGGAAATTTTAAAAAATTGTAAGAATAAAAGAAAAAGAAATCATATATGCACCAAAGCAGGAAAAACAAGATTACTTAGAAGAAAAAAAAAGTAGGCTTCCCCAGACATCTTCTCTATAGCACAAAAAGTCAGAAAACCATGGAACAACAGAACTGTTACCCCAAACTGTACAATGTTGCACTAATTTCTTGTGTGAAGCCAGCAGAAAGGCATGCTTAGGATCCACACAGATGCACAAAATCGTCATCCATGCTCCCTCGCTAAGAAAAAATTATCTTAAAAATATTCTAGTCAATGAAGAAACAAATCCAAAAAAAAAAAAACAAAACAAAAAAGAAAAGAAACAAATCCAAATTTAAAACAAAAAAAAATGAGGAAACCACAGTCGAAAAGGATTCTGAGACTTCCTTTAGTGAGTTTAACCTTCCAAATCAGGCACCCAGCTGATTTCGGATCTCCTGGGAAGCCAGGTGGCGGGACTGCCCCTGGGGCCCCTCTGCAGCTTTGCCTCCTCCTGGGCACTGGGATGTCGGGCCACAATCAACTCCCCACAAGTAAAATGAACAAGAGACTGCAATGACCTGTCATCCCTTAAAACAGTGTTTGCTGTGATACTCTTCCAGAACTTGCTAAGGACAGCTATACCACTTGCTGGTGGGAACACCATCCTAGAAGACTTCTTGAACAAGAAACATGTTTTCCTTTCTCTGACACACAGCACAAAATAATGACCAGATTCAATACTATATTAAAAGCCAAGGTGCTTACATAATGACTTTCTATGTATTTAAAAGCCACACACAATGATGACTCTTTTTGACTGGAAAAGATTTATCTATCACAAAGAACACTATTTATTGTTTTTAATCTAGGCCCTATTAGTAAATGTTCCTTTGTTTTCACAGCTTAAATATATACACATGGAAAATACTACAAGATGGAAATAGTGACCATCTCTCTAGGGGCTAGCATTCTAGATAATGTTTTTTTCTTTAAAATTTTTGTACTTTCTGAGTTTTCTTCAATGGTTATGTCTTAGCTGTATGGTCATTAAAAAGTTACTAAAATCAGTATACATAATAATTATGAACACACTATTACCACATTAATTTGAGAATACCCACAAAATTTTGCAGCAATCATTGTAACTTAAGTGGTGAGACTGGGTAATATTTTTGTTTTTCACAAGTACATATTACCTTTGTGATTAACAGAAGACTAATTTCATCAAGAGAAAAAATGTTAGAAAGAAATTTAAAATGTTGGAGTCATTCAGTACTTAATCCATGCACTTCAGAAGGAGGAAAGGTAAGCACTAAGGAAAAGAATGCCACCAATTCTATTACAGTAAAGAAAATTTATCAAATATCCTTTCCTTTAAGGCACAGTTTCTATTCTATTTATCTCCTTTTCTTTACCCATAAAAATATATCCATTACTAAATTTGAAATTCTTAAAACTGGCTCTGTGAGATCATGCCTATCACATGCTTTCAATTCCATTCCTCAGGACTTCACTGAAATACACTGCTAAAACTCTCACACTCCCCCACAGGGGCCAGATGTGTCAGTCAAATACTTTAAATAGATTTGATTGCAGGTCTGGAAAGGCTACTTCATTCCACTCTATTTAAAGGTGCTGATAAATGTTTTCATTTTTCTTTTTCCTGCTCTCTAGTCATTTTATCTTTGGCTTTTTAGTCCATGAAACTTAAGGTCTTATAATTCTTCTACATCTGAGAAGGACTTAACAAATTCATAATCATTGGTATAAACAACAACAACAAAATACATTCTCATAGACACTTAATTCCATTCTCAAGCATCTATATTGCAAATGCAATATGACAAATGATATTGTAGTTGTAAGAGTCTATTAAAATTACTGCAGACATCCTGGGATCAGTTAGTGGCTCTATCTGAGTAATAGTCCAGACAAGTAAGAACTATTTATGACGGCAGGAGAAAAAGAGTTCTAAAATATACATAGCTACATTCATCCTCAGATATTTTTACAAATGACAGTATAATGATGGTTCTTGCCTAACCCTGCTCATTTTTCGCTCCTGGTTGTATCTTCCTGAAGTCCTCTGGACCCTTTTTCTTGCATCACCAAATGAAATGCAGCAGAGCAATAAAAGGAGAAGGGAAAAACAACATAGAAAGCATAGAAAGCAAATTTTCAAAATGATGTTGTTTCAAAGCTTGGATTTGTCCTTGGAAGTCTAACCAGTAGGTCTGCATATGCTTGGGGACATGTTATTTAACCTTTGGAGGTACATGCTAGTTTGAAAATGGATTACCAAAAGCCCAAACTAAGCTTAATCTCACTTCTAGTTCAACAGAGCAATAGGTAAGAAAATTTGGGGAGAAAGAATCAGTTTGGGGAAATCTTTCTCTAGTAATCCTAAGAAAAGAGGATGGTAACTGACTGTAGATGGCAGGCAGGGCAGATTACAAATCCAGATTGCACATGGTTTTATAATCATGAACATAAAAGCTAAAATAATATCTAACTCAGGATGGTTTCCTTGAACTGTCTCCAAGGCCATGATATCTCATTAATGCCTTATCTGCACATCATAAAGAATTATAGACTCTTTAGAGACAGACCATATTGGAAATAATTCTACTACCAAATTGTCCCACTGACGTATCTGTCCACCCTATCAAACAGATATGGGAAGGATTTGGTGATATAATAAACAATGTTCAATCTCAGACTACAGGAGTCTCAGCAGTGATTTACAGCCTCTGTTTCCTCTTGGCCCTTGCTGGCTGGGACAGAGCAGAACACACCTATACGGCCAGGCTCCGGCACCAGTGCAGGAGCTGTAAATTTGAATTTCTCAGAAAGTGTTATGAAACAATGTCACACATGCTTGAACTGCTGATAAAGAAAAGGAAAAGCTCAGCCTTTCAGTTTCAATGAACTGAAAGTACGGTCATTATACTGACACAGAAATCTTGAATTCTCCCCCAGCTGCGTTTCTAACAGCGCTACTTCTCAGGTTTTCTCAAGCCCTTTATAAATATGAAAATATCACACTTTATACTCCATGTATTATAAAAAGACCTAACACTGGGCTAGTGTTGTTGCCTTAACCAACAATGCCTGTGCATTCAAGGCATAATATTTAAGCTTCCACATAATAACATAATTGTTAAGAATAATCCTGTAATAACTAGGTCACTATCTACTTGATTGTACTGGAAGAGAAGATTTCCTTTTTTGTGCAAATAGCTTAAACTTGATTAATATTAATAGAGAGTAACATCTGAAAACATTATTTCCTGGTCTGGAGAATAAAGAAGCACTATAGTTTTCAAACTAGAAAATATTTGATAGATAACTTATCCCAGAATATATTTAGAGTAGGGTCAATACAGGAACTTAGCACAGATTTTCATGCTAGTAAAAGGGTAAAAATGTAGTTTTTCATATGGAAATTTATTTTTTAATAATTTAACCAAGAAACAGGATAATCTTAATGAAAGTTTACTTTTACTTTGTAAAGAAATATTTGCCTCCCATGGGCATAGAAAATGCACTACAAATTTGCATGGTGAGAAATCATCTAAATTATGTTTCCATGGGTGTTGGTAATGGAAACAACAGTAGATAGATGAGGACCAAACCTTAGTGCAGAATCCATAGCAGGTTCTAGTCATACTGGCCTCCTTCATATTGAATATATTGAAATACAATGAACATGTCAAAACTGCAGAAAATAAGCAGAAGGAGGGGCTAGACTTCTGGAAACATGTTCATAATATGGAAAAAAATAAAATGATCACTCTATGTTCTCTAAATTTCCACATAACTTTGAGGACCTGGCTGTTTTACCAACTGGAAATGATAATAATGATGTCTATTGAATGAAGATGAACGTTCAACTGAGATTTAAAATGTCACAAGCAGCAAAAGGAAGGCAAGCCCAGTACCCTTTTGAAGCACAGCACTCTCACATGACCCCTCCATGGAGATGAGGCCACAGTGCTGACCGCACACATAACGGTGCACCACTGTTCAGTGAAAGGAGAAATCCACAAGCTCAAAGAACACCCACGTCAAAGTGAGGAGATTTGGTTTTACTAGTATTTCCACAGAATGGGTCCAAATAAAAAAGTTCTTTCTCTCTTCCTTTTGTTTATGAACTTGAATGACTGGTTTAATCTAGGTTACCACTGTCCTTTCATGGCGACTCTCATTTAAAAAAAAAAAAAGATTTCTTTTTCCACTAGAGATTTGGTTTCCCTTCCTAAATGTTTTGTTCACCAACAAAACAGTTAAGATTCACCAACTCCTATGAAGAAAATACCTTAACTAACTGAGTTCTATTTCTAAATGGAAGCTATATCTAGAGTTTCCTTTCCTGGGAACACTATTTTTTATTTATTTTTAATGATTTCCACTTACGGTCTTGAATCAAATCTTAGCTAAAACTAAATTTGCCAATATTCCTGCAGGATATATTTGCTGCCTCATTATTTATTTCAAGACAGAATTTACAATTTAAAAGCAAGAGACAATGAAAACCTAGTACTGTGGAAATTACCTCATCCGATCCTTTCTTTTCTCCTGTCTTGGAAGGCGATCTGCTGGTTTTTCCATGGGCATGCTATAAAAATATTAAAGAAAGATAATGTTTAATAGAGGGAGGTGATACAAGATAATATAATAGTGACTTTAATCCCAAAGGACTAAATACATAGGCTATAAAAACAAAGACCCCTTTAATCTTCCTCCTGAGAATGTTGATAATTCTACACCGACGTAGGTGGCCTTCAAAAATTAAGGGAAGCTCCAGACATTCATTTGGGATGTAGAAAGTCAGTCTGTAATTAGCCAGACGCAGATCTGATGGTGATGCCAAGGCGGCATCTCGTCTCCTACAAAATGCCTCGTGGAATTTTAAAGCACAAATTGCCAGCATGGGAGACATTTGGTTCCTCATGAAGATGAGACGTCTGAGAAACATGCTGAGCCTAAAGCCATTTTAAGCCTTAGTTCAGCCTAAGCTCAAGGAAAGATGACCACTTGTCAACCATCACCTCCAATGGTTCTTGGGAATTCTCTGGAGTCCTTCCATGTGAGTATTCACCAATGCAGAAAAATAGGCCCTGTATTGGAAGGACCAAACCTGAAACTTGCATTTACTATGGCTTTAAAATTTCATTGTGTCCACAAACAGAATCATTTTTCCCACAAGGACACTAGGGATAAATGCAAATATTTTTTATGTAGCACATACAAGCTTCAAGGAGCTTATATGTTCATTTGTTTTGATAATAAGATAAAAGAAGCCATGAAAATTATTGCATTTCTTTGATAAATGGAAAAAAAAATAACACTGCATGTTCCTGAAAAGAGGGTACAAAGAATTATTTCATTTCTTGCACATTGTGGGAAATAAGAAAATAAAAAGCTCGCCATTGAGTTCAATTCCAATCACGTTCAGTTAAACTGAAACATAAAATCCCATTACGTTCCCTAAAGCAGAATCATAACCTGAATATGTAGACCATTTAAATTATTTGAAATAAGAAGAATGTCAATGGTAATAATAATCATTTATATTATTATTATTTACAAGGCACTTTCATATACTTTTTTATTTGATTAAAAAAAAAAGAGGCTCATGTGATTTCATGGATGAAAAAAACTAAGAATAAAATTTACGGGATTGTGCTTTCCACAAGGACACAAACCTAGTAAATGAGACAAATTTTCAAAGCAGATTTTCTGACTTAAAATCTTCTGTTCAACATACCATGACAAATGAAATAAGATAACGTTTCCTTCAATTATATCAACAGACAGTTCAGTGGAAAAACAAAAGGCCAAGGAATATTAGACATGTGGCTAAAATATTCCAATAGTTCTTTGTATAAAAAACTAGAAAGAAATCACTTTCATGAATGGAAAATTCTTCCTTCAATGAAAGACTCTCATGGAATAGTGGGTAGACGCCACAGAAAAGAAGGCAGAATGCAACAGCTCGGTGAGTGAAGCCCTCTGCAGGGCCTGTTTCACCCAGATGTCCTAGTCAAGAATTTGTCCACAGTGACAAGCAGTCAGTAGTGAGTAATTAATGACTCTTGATAGAAAAGGGAGCCATTTAAAAGCCTACATATGTATCACAGTTAGATGGTATAAGTTTTAGAATAACTGGTGAACAAAAGATTCTTAAAGACCAGATTAAGGGGAAGAATTATTCAACATTTGGAGACAGAATTTGAGAGGGACGGGCCTACAATGACAGAGACTGATGCAATCTGTCTCCTTTCAGAACTGGTAGGTTCAGAATCATGATATCACATTCATTTCTTATCTCCAATTCCGTATCTTTTTCAGCTTTGATATAGGTAACACATAATAACAATTTCCACTGCTTAACTGAGCGTACGGTTTTGAATGCCTCATTTACTTGTAGGAAGTATGATTATTCCATTTTACAAGTGAGAAAACTTAAAGAGCAACTCGCTCTTGTCTGGGGCAGGGCTCCATGTTCTCCTCACGGTCCCACTGCGCTTCCTGCTCCTGTGACAAATGTATATTACAATTTACTATCCTATAGTAAACACACAAACAACCTTTTCTCTCTAAAATATAGGTATATAAATGTTTTTCTTTACAATAGTTTAAAAAGTTGTTTCCTGGTGGTGTTTCAAAACTGCAGTTCTTCGGATGAACAATCATCATCAGTTACTTGCTTCCATTGAAACCCTCAAAATGCCTCACAATTATGTAGGTTCCAAATAATAGTTTGAGAAGGATATATAGAGTAAATGCTTTTTAAAATGTAGAGTTATAATGACAACTTATAAAAATTATAAGAGTTGTTATTTTGTAATTTCAAAAGAAATATTTGCTCTCAATGGAAAGATTTTCAAAATACACACAAGTATAACGACACAATAAAAATCACATAACCAAATGGCAATTTTTTTTAGGAACTGTATAGACTGTTTTTCCAGATTTTCTATAACCTGGCTTTTTAATTATAAAATTTTTCTAATATACATACAAGTTAAAGGAATAACACAATGAATGTCGGTCGTCCCACCACCTAGATTCAAAAACTATTAACACGGTTGCCATATATTGCCACGTTTGCATATACTATAGATACATAGATCTACATATTGCCACGTTTGCATATACTATAGATACCTAGATCTACCTATATTTGTACGTGTACCTGAATTTGAAAGTAAACTGCAGAGATCCTGAAACTTTACCCCTAAACATTCACCAAGCATCTTCTTAAATTGAGGACTTCTTCCTATATAACTATATCATCACTCCAAGAGAATTAACAAGAATTACCTAAGACTATTCATTTTCCAGTAAATAGCAACTTTATAAATAAATCACTGTCCTGACTATTTCTTGGGGCTTATTCAATATTCAATAGTCTATGAATAATATAAAATCAGTTATGTCTTTTCAATGAGAAAGATTCAAAGTGCCTGATTTTTAAATTCATGGAATAGTTGAGTACTTTCCACATACTTGAGCTGGTGGAATGAAATGCCTGGGAATGATATATGTCACATTTGACCCAGCTTAGGAACCCTAGCAACTCTTTAACAGAGTGAATAGAGAAAACCTTGTCTTCTTCTACTACATGTAGCTGGTGGGTTGGGAAGAGGTGAGAGAATCATTGAGAAGGTGAAGGAGTGGTAGGACGGGAAAAAGAACTTAACCACAAACCTGAAATATCTGTAAAGGACTTTTCTATAGAAGGGAAAAGAATCTACCTTGTTCTAAGCATCTCCTCTGTGCTAAGCCCAGTGCTGGGCACTTCCCCGTGTGATCCCCTTTACTTCCACAGCAACTCTAGGGGTGCACAAGGCCAGCTCATTTTATGGATAAAGAAATCCAGGATGTGAAAGGTAAGGATGTGAAAGAAACCTCAGTCATACCACATATCAGAATTATCCACGATGAGCCTGAGAATGGGCTACTCTGGATGTAGTTAAAAGCTAGGTGAAATCGTGTGACTCATATTAAGAAAGACTCAATCCATATACAAAAACTCATACAACTTATTAACAAAAAAACCCAACCCAATCCAAAAATGGGCAAAAGACCTAAACAAGCAATTCTCCAATGAAGACATGAAAATGACCAATAGGCACCTGAAAAAATGCTCAATATCGCTAATTATGTAAGAAATGCAAATCAAATCTACAATGAGGTATCACCTTACACCAGTCGGAATGACCATTATTCAAAAGTCCACAAACAATGCTGGAGAGGGTAGAGAGAAAAGCGAACCCCCCCTACACTGTTGGTGGGAATGTAGTTTGATGCAGCCATTATGGAAAACAGTATAGAGATTCCTCAAAAAAACTACAATACACTTACC